AAGGCGGCGCATGCGAAGAAGGGTGCTGTCCGGTACCGCGAGTGTCAAAAGAACCATGCGGCTGGTATTGGCGCCCATGCCATCGATGGGTGTGGGGAGTTCATGCCTGGTGGCGAGGAGGGCTCTGTGGACGCGCTCAGGTGCGCGGCCTGCAACTGCCACCGCAACTTCCATCGCCGGGAGGTCGAGGGTGAGGTCCTGTGCGACTGCAAGCGCAAACCCAAACCTGGAGTCCAACTCGGCGCTGGCATTGTCACTCCCGGCATGCCCACAACCTTGACATCTGCCACCCCAGTGTCTACGCTCGCATTGACTGTTGGCGGAGCTGGACAGATGTCTCCGCTCGCGATGGCGGCATTGAGCGCCGGTGGCCCGACTGACAGCGATGAGCAGGACGACGGCCCAGGTAACGTCACCAGCGGCGGTGGGATGATGATGTCCATGAGGTCGCCTTCAGCGATCAAGAAACGATTTCGTACGAAATTCACCACAGGGCAGAAGGATAAGATGTTCGCGTTTGCCGAGAATGCTTGGGTGGCGCATCCAGAAGCACGACGAGGCTGCCGTGCAGGAGTTTTGCTCACTTGTGGGAGTCAAGCGGCACGTTCTGAAGGTCTGGATGCACAACAACAAGCACACTATGGGCAAGAAGCCATAAATTTCTTGGCTGAGACCAGACGTTGAGCGATTCTCGACTGAGGTCTTAAGAAAAGTTGGTCCATTATTTGCATCTGATGAATCCAGACGCCCCTATGGTCGAGAGGTTGCCTGATCCACGCTTTTCATATGCTTCCATGCGGTTGAGTACCAATTTTATGCTCAGCAATGTTCAAAATCTGAAGAAGTGACACCACACAGTACCACCGCGAGCCACAATCCGAGAGCCAGTCCGTCATGCAGTCGGTCATGGAGCCAGTCCGTCATGGCATCAATTTGCGGCTTCCTAAGCCATAGTTCGTCGACTTCGGGATTCGCGACTTAAATCGATTTGATCACCACGATAGGACAATCAGTTCGAGCAGGGGCGTAGGCTTGTTTTATTCCAAGCATTCTGGAATATGAAGTAATCGTAGACTATCAGCGTTTAAGAGTGAATTCTGTGGAGATCGATCGAGTCAGCATAGGTTTCAGTCTAGTTGTCTGTCGGGCAGCTCCAGTTTCAGATAATCCCTACTTCTGGTTCAACACAGGATGCCACAGCCATATTAGTGGCTTATGATCTTGAAGACGATGGATGACTCCTGTCTGTAAAGTACCATGAGGTTAGGTGAGCGAGCTCCTCAGCGACCGACTTTGATCTCAATGGCTCCAGTGTGGCATGAGTAGACTTAATAGGAGTATTTCGGGAGTCATTTATCCAGTAGAGCCATTAGATTACTTAGTTACATTGAATCACATAAGCGGGGAGGCCAGGCTTGGTTCAATTCATTGTGAATTAATCAATTGCATGCATTGCATCGTAGTCTACAACAGGGTCAGACTCTATTCTACAGCCAACGCTGACAAGGGAGATGTTGTGAAGACACAGGACACTCTTGAACCGAAAGATTTTACTGTTCTGAGCTTCGGCATTAAGATGTAATGTAGTATCCAGATCACTCTCTTCATAAATTTATCCTTCTGATATTATTTTCCCTCTTCCTTGTACATTCTCCGTTCTGGCCCATCTCTTGATCTATAATGCTTGTGGCAATTCTTGCTTTATTAGCATTACGAGTCGGTGATGGGATTGTTGGTAACGATAGCAGTTGAATGCCGTCAAGCTATTTACACCTAACGTGCGAACATACCGCACATTATTAGATTCTGCGAAATTCTCAAGGCTCAGACGGTGATGGCATCTAGATGGTATTTGAGCTTGTAAGCATTGATGGGCGGTATGAAAGTTCGACAAGAAAACCTTGGAAAGAAAAGTTTTCGGGGCTGCAACATTCGTGTGCCAAGGGATCAAGGATTGCGATCGAAGTTGGTGGATCAGTAGGACGAAGATCAGAAGGTGTCTGATGTTCATCCCCCAGGTAAAATGACGTGCCGCTCAACTCCTCGTACTTCTGATTGAATGCACGGTGCTCTTATGTCCCCTCTCCTGTTAACACTTCTCGTAGGATTGCCTCGTGTACATGCAGTGTCGTGTGCCTTATTCTGAACCTCTTTTCTAGGTCGAGGTCCTCCAGCCCTTCCATCCCATAACTGATCCATCAACCGATTCTGTGAATCAACCGAATCAGCATACATGGAAGCTCCATCCGATTGAGAGTGTGAGAGCTCCAAAATATAATATAACATATGTAGTTCAATCCAAGTGTATTTTACCCACTGAAGCGTGCCCATGGTGCAACTTGCCTTTTTGCCAGATCACTTTATACCCATCTGTTGATCTCCGTTTCGTAGACACTCATTCTTCGACGTGATTCCGGGTGCCCTCAGATGGTAGTAATCAACCTCCCAGCAGCACCATTACATTGGGCAGCTGGTTCAAGTGGGCGAGTCCTTCCCTCAGTCCTTATTTCTGTGTCCAGTCCTTTGAGCGTTCGTCGCGAATTAGCAGGGAAGGTGGCAGTAGTCATTGCCAGAGATGATCATGTTTCGTATTCATACGGATGTTATTGAGGTTATCCATTTAATGGTCCCGATTAGACGTGTCGGTCTGGCGAACAATAAATACCGGGCCCGACCTGATTTGCCGAGTGCAGAACTCGCTCTCATGAATTCTTAGAAGAATGCACTAGATAGAATTATGGATCTTTGCCCTATTAAGCCTTGTTTTGTGTACTGAATGCATGATTAGTGCTGAGGTTTACATCCAGCCATAGCAAAGTTATGAAAATTGGCAGCAGGGGCGGTCATAAAGATCAGTGTTTCCACTTGCCCAGCTATATCTGGGCCTGTCTGGTCACTGATTGTTTAATTTTAGTAAACTGGATAGAGTTCCGTTTCTTGTCCCACAGTTTCAGAGACACTCAGGTAATGGTTGACATCAATATGAAACTTGCAAACAATATGATTGCAATTATAGTGGTACTAATTACAGTATTATTGTGATTGATTGAGCGATTCATTACGTTTATGGTCACCAGAGGATATGAACCTCACTTCACTTCACTGCACTTCTGGTTGTCCAAGCTCCTTGTTTAATGATTCTCATGGATTTGGTCACGCAATTCACATCCATGTTCTACTTTGCACAAGCATTTGAAGCAGTTCATGTATAGACAGACAACATTCTCTCTCTCTCGCTCTCTCTCTCTCTATGTCTGCTTCCTCCAGTATTCTGACAAATGAAGGGCTGACCTGAAAGCAACTTCTGTGAACATCATAAACCCACATGCCTTTGGAACCAGATGCCAGAGGAAAATCACCTCCAGTGTGAATCAAGGCACAAAATATTCAGAGTTAAGTTTATTTTTTTACTTTCTGTGAGTTTGATAAAGAGGATGGATTCTTACGCATCATGTTAGACAAGCTAGACAAGCATGGTGTCCTTGATTTTGGACAATACCTACAGGGAACTATCATTGCGGACTACTGATTGAGTGGGTGAGTTTAGCTTTTCCACATGCTCTCCTGGAGAAGTGGTGTGGTGGCACCTTGGATGCCCCATTTCATTTCCTTGCCCTGGGCCCCAATGGTCCCTCAACCATTATACTAACAAGTTTGTACTGCCCCTCCCCCCCCCCATCCACTAGTTTTGCTGTTGTTGTTACTATTTTTATTAAATTTTATTATAAATTTTTTTAAATATCTATATAATTCTCAATGAATATTTATCGCTCTGTCCATGCATGTTTGGTTCTTGTAACACCCTTCCCTCATTTGAGTGCAACAAACCAACTTTAATTTAATGCTTGTACAATCATATTGTGTGGGTTCTGCTTTAAAAATTGTTTTGAACTTGTCTAAGCTGGATGTAGAGAAATTCTTGTAGCAATTTTGATGAGTCTATGAAGCTGCAACTTTTACTCAATCAATACAATCCACCATGAAGAATTATTTACACTAATATTGAGATTCATGGAATTTGTGATTATTAAGACTAATATTTGAGATTCATGGAATTTGTGAGATGTTGCAGTAGAAAAAATCATAGTATTTGAGACAGACCAATGCACACCAAGAAAGAAAGAAAGAAAGAACTCTAGATTATTTTGTGCAAATTAAAAATTTCTATACCTGTGTTATAACTTGGTATAATTAGAAACAAAATAACATTGAAATGTACTACAATAAGAATATATTGTAATTTAGAAGAAGAGTAAAATGATGTGTATGAACACACACACACACACACACACACTATATATATATATATATATATATATATATATAAATTAATTCTATTCTCACACAATTGGGACCTGCTTGGGGAAAAGAAGTTATGAGGGCAAACTACATAAATCATATTTTTGCAGGAATTGAAGTATGGAGTACAGTAGCAGGCTGTCTTTTGGAGATATTTGGCAAAAAAAAGGTGAACCAGGGATATGGTACTCAAGTCTATTTTCTTGAGAAGAGCAAGCCAAAAGTTTAAAAACCTGAACCCATTTCTTCTCGAGCCACTGGTCGTCATTCCTATCTCACCACCATCTACATCACTTGCTTTTGCATGACCATATGGCAGCTATCGAGGCACAGAGTTTTTTTCTCTTGGGAATCAGTGAAGCTGTGTTAATAAGGTAAGCTTGAAATATGGTGTTATTCCGCAGTTCCTCAAAAGCACTGATCCATTCAAGTCAGGATCTGCTTCAAAAGGGTTCCGTCACCCTCTGTTTTGTGTTTGGAAAGTGATTGATTTTTGGAACTTTCTAAGTTGGGGTGGTTTGGCGACCGTTCATTTTGTCATTTTTGTGGAATGAGTGATCCGCTCTGACATGGATCTTTGATAAAAGAGTTCATAATACCTCAACAACAATAATAACCAAGTCAACGATGAAATCACAAATTATTCAGACTGTATGTACGCCATAAGCACTATCAGTGACCTGAAATACAATGTAACTAAATAGGAAAAATACGCCAAGTTATCTACAGACGGTAATTCTTGATTCAATGCTGTTTAACAACAGCAAATTAAAAATTGATCTTCACCAATGCACTGCTCTAGCCCAGCTCATCGCTTTGCATTTGCCTAACAGCCCAATCAACCACCCCTAATACCAGCATAAGCAGTTCCAACAGCTCTCAACGTTCTTGAGTATTTCCATCGTACCTTTCCATACCTCATGGAAGGAGAAAATATAAGTTAAAATAGCAACTCCTACGAAATTTGACACTGAAACATGAACAAAAGGGTCGTACCTGCCGCTCCATACCTCGATATCTGGCATGTTTGAGAAGATGATTCCATGCTGTCATATGCCTTTTTCGTTCCAGTAATAAATGGATCTCCTTAGAATGCTTGCATCCATGTGAAGTATGCACTTTAGGATATTGTGACATACTTCGTGCTTTCAATGCATCCTCTTAGCGAATAATCAACAGTGCACCATCAACAAAGAATCCATGCTTCCCACTTTATTTCTTCATGCTTGTAAAAACTGTGAATTCCACAGTTGAGTCTTCTGTCAAGTGATAGCTTTACAGCATATTGCACCTGCCAGTGGGCCAGTTACAGCAAGACAAGCTTGCAATCAGCGAATACAAATTTCGTCCTGCCAACTCTCTTATCCATGCTGGCAAATCGATGTGTGATTGCAGGTTCTTAGGATATATTGGCTACAATAGGGCTACAACTCTTCGCTGCCCCACTGGAATCTGTGTTCCCAAATTATGGGTTCAATACATTTCTCCTCTGACTCATAGCTCGTGTAGCTACCCCTTTCCCTCTTTTAGTGAAAGCATCATTTACATACTGCAGTCACTTACACCAAGGGAGCCCTTGATACTTTCTTCCGTCTGAGTTGTAGGCGCAGGGGCCCTCGTGCCCACATCCATAGTAATAAAAATAGGAGGAAGGATAAGGGTAGCCATTGCGTCATTAGCATTGCCACCTTCATGTCTGCTGCCGCACACACCATCTTACAATATCAGATGACATTAAGGCATATTACTCTCAAATCACAGGTGTCTTAGACCTAACAATTTTTCGTCGCCTACCATGCGAAAAACCATGTCGCGGTAATTGAATTTCCACCAAGATAATGCACTCTGAATTACTCCTGCGACCAGCAACCCAAGTCTTTTTCGATAATAAGATGTGATATTCGTTGACAATCAAAGTTATCACGATGGAATGAGGAACGTTATAATCTATGGATAAAATATTCACTTGGTATTAGGAACTAGCCCCGATTACATATCACTTAAATTTACCTTGCAGAGTGTGACTCCTTAAAGAGTAATAAATGATTACGTTGAGAGACCAATTGCACGTGGGCGAGTAGAGTGATTGAGCACTGAATAATGAGGAGGCCTAGGCCTTGGACCCTTAACATGGCACTAGGGAATTATTCTATTGCTCCACTTCCCGACGTAGAAACAACTCCCAAGGTGACCAAGTAAAAGAACACAACCTACCTTTTAGCTTGCTGGCAAAGCTTTCCTCAAATTCTTTCCGCGGCCGGTATGGAATGACTTGAAAGTCATCATAACTGTCCAAAGTTGTTGACTGTACTGAACCTACTTCCAAGTTCCCACTCAGCTCTATGATTCCCCCTCCACAGGCATTGGCACAGTTAACTCGCTTCTCGTACTCGTCACTGCCATCACAGCAATCTGCACATTTGCATCAGACAGTTAACAGATGCCCAAACACTACCACATGAAATAAACATATTGCACTAACAGTATTGAGTATCAAGAAGTAGAACGTCAGTCAATGTTCTATCCCAAGGACACATCACCACCGGAACTCTTCAGTACATGTTAATAAGGAATTGGCAAGACAATGTACCATAAAAGGGCTTCTGAGAGAAGCTCTTAGACTATTAATGACAATAAATGAACTTGTTAGGATAAGGAAACCTAATTTTCCTGTGTTGCTGGCATTGCAGAGTAAATTAGTGCAAGCAAATGAGAATAAGGCACAGGACGCTAACCACAAATGCCGTCATTGACTCGTGAAGCAAACACCAATTTCGGAGCTGATCCCACATTTCTGCAATAGAACTTACTGTTGGGACAAGCCGAGGTTCCTGAATGACGGAAATATACGAATTTACATTAGACATTTTGTGACGGTGTACACCCGGCAATTCTCAATCTCCTAATATTACAACTATGGTAACAGGGATTCAATGCTATTGAAGAAAATAATCATAGATTTCTTACCAGGTTCATCGGTCCCATCGGGACAATCGCAGAAATTATCGTTGAGGCGCTCCCGAGGAAACGATTTGGAGCCATCTTTGCACCATATATCGTACTCTTGAAAATAAGACAAATCTGTATCCAAAACTTCATCCATGTCAAGAAGCCAACCATCTCTCCATGACCAGCGAAGACTCATTCCGCATACACTACATTACAATTCGAAACAAAACAGCACAATCTGCACAGAAAGGGTCCTTCAACTCCCAATAAAGACACCCGTTCTCTGCTTGGACCTAGTTTACATAGAACTATCTGGTCTCGAAGCTGCTGTCGGACAGGGCACAAGATGGATGCTTCTGCACCTTGAAGACAAACACAACTACGACCTAATCGTTCAACTTAGAAAATTAATTCTTCTTATCATCACTACTGTACTGTTCCAAATCCCCGTATGAAACGCATCCGTCTCCGAAAAGTAACGGCAAAACAACCCAACAACCGGAAACCGCTAGGTTTGTATCCCAACCATAACCATTCTCTAACAAATCAAACACTGTCCATCTCAGACAGAAACTACCCAAAAAACTCCAAGTAAGGACCCACCCTGAGGGTCAATCCCACGGACTTTGTTGCCAGCCAAGGCTCGATCAACTAACGCCCACAGCAATATCAGCCGCAACATCGAAAGCAAACAGCGTCGTAATTGCGGGGAAATACACCATAGTCGCCGCTGGTTCATGGCGAACAAATCTACGGACGAGCTCTATACATCAGACTACAAATTCTCAGGCTTATGTGGCGAGGGGCAGACGCAGGGAACAGGAATCTGGCATCGCAATCGATGTGTCCATGCGGATGACTTACAGTGTCACGGTTCTCTCCTCACAGCCATAGCGGGGCCACAACATTCATCCCTTCCCATCCTCCCCAAAGCACCCTCTAGAATACGGATCTCCTTGCAAGAAATTCACGTCTAGCGTTGCTCTGTGGCATGTTTCTTGACCTAATCGTCACAGTGTGGAGCCATTGATGTTTTGGATTGCGGTGTGCCCATTAGTATGAAGTCATTGATTCTCTCTGTTTCCTTAAATGAGAATACCCATCACTCGACGAGGGGATGCTGAAGTTTTCCATAAACTCTGCTTGTCATCTCTGAGTTTTCTTAATCAGTTCTTTTCACCACAATTCAGTCAATTTGAAAGAGGTTTTTCCTATGAAAGCTAAAGATAATTTGTTGATGAATCCACAGTTTCTCGAGGTCGTACCACACATTATTCAACCTTGATGTGTCAATTTATAAGATAAAATGGCTAAAAAAGTGTTCAACTCGAGTGCAAATTCAACGTGCCCATTTGACAAGCTCAAATTAAAGAACACAATAGCCTATTACACGATTCAGATAATTTAGGTAGGGGAAGCAGCACGCGTCTTGGAAGGGTTGTTTTGGAAGGTAATGCCCTGCCCTCATATGAAACAAATGCCTCGTTCTATCTACTTCGCAATCTGTCCAGCGATTAATCTGTCAAATACAAGCTCCAGAATTTCTCGGCGATTTATGTGCTTAATCTGTTTACAAACCACTGCCTCACCGCCAAACAATTCTTAGTGCAAAACTTATACCTCGTCTGCTTCATTATCAATGAACAAGCTCTAGATCTGAAAAACTCGAGATTATTCAAGTCAAAAGCTGCCTCCTGGTGTTGCGAGACCACGGTTTGAACAAGATCGTCGGCCTCACAGTTACTCTGATCAAGTGGATGAGAGGTGGCCTCATCAACGCCAGGAAAATAATCAAAGTAGCAATTCCTACCGAGTTTTTACACAAATATCGCCATGAAGGCTGTCACAACTCTCGGCGAGAATTGTGGAAGAGAAAACTCGGAGAATCGATCCGCACTATGTGTTCCTCCTTGTCGGAGTCATCGCTGGAGTCATCAGGCTTCGGCTCGCTCTGGTGCGGCAACAAGGACATGGGGACGGTCATGTTCTCCTGGCTTGCAATCTTGCGTTTCGGCATGGACGTCTGCTTATTATCAAATCTTTCTTGCATCATCAGCGACACCCGCTTGACAAGGTTGGAATGAGATTGGGTGAACCGAGACTGTGCATCTAGTGGTATTTCATCTGCTCTCCTCTTGTCCCTCACATCTACCTGCGAAGACCAGATACATGCATAGTTTTCTATAAGCCATCGAACGCCTTCAGGCCGCCCACAAAAGCAATCTGCCATATTTTTGTTAATAAATGAAGGACAAGGAAAAGCTTCAAACCTCGGAGCCAAAGACACTAATTTCCAAAGCCTTGGCAGTGTATTTGTCCGGAACGCAGCTACTGCCGCTGCCCCATGCCTGTGCAATGGGGATAGAGTGGTCACTCGCAATCCTTATTTCATTGTGGCTGCTGTGTCGATCCACTTTTGTTCGAGTATTCGTGGAGGTTTTAGATGACAGCCGTAGCATGGAGCGACTGGTTTTACGAGGAACCGCCAATAGCTGCGACGATCCTTGAGACAAGATTTCACCAACCTTCGACGATTCGAACAGCAGGACACGAGATCTTGCCTCAGCGTGGAAAACCGTCGGTTGCTGCAGGGAGATGTTGCTCCAACTTCCTGCAACCAATGAATGTTCCTCAGCAACTTGTCACTACGAAAAAGTTCCTCAAATAAATTGCAAGTGCGAAGAGAAAGGTGGACTAACCAGTGGGGCTGGGAAGCAGTATCTTAGCAGTCAGACCTGCTGGTGCAGTAATGAGCTCAGTGCTATTCTCTTGCCTGACGAAGCCTTCCAGCAATAACCCCATCTCTTTGTGCCGGAGCTCGAAGACCTCACCCCGTAGAAAGATGCGCATGGAAGAGCCTTCCATCACAAGAGCTCGTATATCCTGTAGTGTCGCCATGTCGAACTGCGGGCCCAATACAATCTTGGCAACAGCCAGGGCACTTTCCTGTACAAGAGCAAGACATTTAATAAACTGAAGCACCAACTCATATTTTGATATTTTTATTTGTCATTCAACTCCGCGATTGTATTTCGGAACAATTGTGTTGAAGCTTATGAATCTACTAATGTCCAGAGGTTAATTCTTGACTACCTGAGGAGAGAAGAGGAAGAATCGGAAGTCAGCAGCGATACCTGCCAAAGAAAGTCCTCGAGGTCAGCCCTTTCCTTTTGAATAAATAAGATCCTGGAGCGTTCGACGAAGAAGCAATGCACCACTGAATCTGCGACGACATCACACAGGTAAGGCTTGCCAGTCAACACTTCGTACAAGCCGAGTGTGCTGCCGAAGGAGAACGTGGGTTGCCGCAGCCGCTGCCCACCGACTGCCTTCTTGCTCCACTGCGATTCCGAATGAGACAGGATTAATTGTAGCAAAGTTTTGTAAGGCCAACGTCAATTTTTTAGTGTTCATACAGTATACAGTAGGGAACACAGCTCCAGCGACAACAATATTTGAATGAACTATAGATAGGTACAAGAGTATATTTTATCATTTTAAATGATAAACAGTCAAATATGAGCAGTAACCTTAACGACACCGTTGGTAATCAACCAGATCCCGTCGGACTTCATATCCTCTCTGTAAATCACGCTACCCTGCAATTTCATGTACTCTTTGGACACATCAAGGAGGGGCTTTTGAACAGAGGTTGGCATCGCTCCTATAAAAGGTTGGTTCTGCAGAGTTTGCTCTGCTGAGGGCATTTCAACAATAGGCGGGTCGCGCAACAACTTCTTCAGGTCAATCTGAAATGAGAAAAAACGGTTCTTTAATTCTGAACCACGTGTTAAACGAGCCAATAGTATAAAACTATCAAGATTTCAAAAACTACTCAGCAACCTCTGAGAACCGAAGATATATCTTTGTGTACTTCTGATCCAAGTCTTCTACTCAAACCTCAAGATACATTAACTGCAGGTTACATTATAATCGAAAGGACAGATACAGATGTGCTGTAGATTGTGGTAGAACTCAAGACCTGGACAGCATCATGAAGATGGACAGCCTCCTTGCTTTCAAATAGGCCAGCATTCTCTAAACTCTCCACGTACGTAGTCAAGTGTAAAAGAATTGCATGAGTTACTTGCTTTGCCTTGACAGCACGCAGGACCTGAATCCAATCGGTCAATAGTCACAGTTGCTCAGTATGGCTTTCTATGCGTGATCAACCAATCTTCCATTATTCTAATCACAGACTTGTAAAGAACTTCAGGTTTTCCAAAATCCCAATGGAGGTAACTATAATTTAGAGGAGAAAAACGGGAACAAGAAACTATATAGAAATCTGCAACTTGGTTTACCTGAGGAAATGAAAGGCGGACGTCTTCAAGAAACAAACGAGCGTGCTGTGCTTGCGCCTCACTTTCTTGAATAACAGCTTCTGTTACTTCACTTTCACCTGTATTTAAATGCACAAATGTAAAGGGCATGATGAGGAGAGTGCTTAGATATTAAAACTGAAATCCTCCATTCTCCTAGTTCTGAATGTCTTATATAAAGACTTACAAACACTTCCCACTCTTAGATTAGATGATAGAAGGTCTATGCTAGCAACTTTAGCAGAACACACATTACTTGCACACTTAACTTCAACTTTAAATGAAAATTAATTCAACACTCCCTACAACAACTACATCAAATTTCGTATTCAATTTACAAGTTATGATTGGCTGCACGTTGGAGACCTGGGCGGCTCGAAATTCTACATTCGGGATTTTAGTGAAAACCAGAGATGTACCAATGAAGTCGCGAAGGTGGTTGCGAGTCATCCGATGAGCCCGCAAAAAGGCTGCAGCAATGTAGCATGCTAGTTCCAATTGTTGAATCAGAAAGTAGGTGGATGCTCTGCGAGGAAGAACTGAAGTAGATCGCCACGAGAAGTATTTCAGATACCCGGGGAAATGGATATGTGGGCGCAGTCCTTCCCAATCCTGTAGCGCAGTATGATGCTTTACCTGTAAGGAATCCGATCCCACCATGTTAAACTTAAGAAATGATTGGCGATGTGAAGAATCAGCCTTTTACTCAAACAGACACAATACTATAGAACAAATGTCTAAGGGATTGACTGCTGCAAAGCTGGGACGCCATGGTATAATAACAAGATGAAAAGAGCTAAGTTGCACAGGAATGGAAATCAGCATTTGAAAGCACTAGTCCAATCAAAAATTTCAAATAATCATGTGACAAGGTGAACCCATTTAGACTTACCTTGTCTAAAGCTTCGTCGATGGATTGCATCAGAATAAGAGCCGCAGTTTGTGTAATTCGTCCTTCGTCCAGCATGTTCCAGTATGCTGCTTGTAAACCTGCAGAGGCAAATAGTTTTCTTAGTTTAATTCTTAGAGAACGAAATCGAAGTTATAAACGGTAACTTATTTGCACATGAGGTTCACATGAGCACAACAGGCTCATGTGTCTGCGATAGCTTTTTTTCAATCCAATAGGATTTGAGAGCCAGATCACTTAGCAGAACTAATAAACTTTGACACACGACCTGAACTAACAGATTCTGTGGTCAAGTGAACTCAAGCCTTCATTTTCTTACTCGGCACATGAACACACAAATTCCAGCAATATGCAAAATGACTTGCCATTTAGGAAGCGGGTACGTGTGTCTGTCATTTGCTGCTTAGCATATTCACCATCTGGAAGGGCAAAACTTGGAGGTCCATGCGGGTGAGTGGGCTTATTTTCCTCGTATGACAAGCAGCTTACATACTTGCGTATAGTATTCCAGTCAGCTGGCCCCAACTCCTCATCATCTCCTAGCTCTCCGAACGCCTCCAGGGCCTTACTGTACATCTCATATTTAGCGAACTCCAGCATACGTGACTGCATCGAACACAGGTTAACCAGTCCACGAAACATCAATGGAAAGTTAAATTTAATTTCTTTTCAAAAATAATAATAAAATCAATATACGTCCAAGAAAAATAACCGCAATCCTAACACAACGTGGGTTGCAAGATAGTAGTTGATTGGTATATAACCAGCAGGAGTAGACACAGAAGACATTTGGGATAGCACTGGCTCTACCTTGGTTTCAGTAATAGTGTCCATTTTCAGAAAAAGGAGAAGAAATTGCGTGGTAGAGCCATTGATGATGAGTGTCAGAAGAACTACGCCACCTGTGAAGAATACAAACTGATGCATTTGACGCAAGGAAACTCGTTAAGAAGAACCAGCTGAAAATCATCCTTTGAATATCTTAACAACTTCCTCACCACATTCTTAAAGACCAGAAAGGATGTCCATGGAGAGAGAAAGTTTTTGAAGTATATTCATATTTGGGTTCAAGCATCCTAAATTAGTAGAGGAAGAACGGGACAAACATAGGAAAAAAGTGACTTCAAGATTTACGTTCGGATGCAATCAAGGCTTCAAGGTGTGTAAATCGATGAAAAGCCCAAAAAAGGGAACTTCAAACTAAAACTTAGAATTTATAACATACCCTAGCCTCCGTCAATTTAGACAAGTAGGTGTTTTGAGTAGGGTCGTGCTGCCCAACTTGCTGGATTTTCATATTCCAAAGCAACAAAGTCCAAGAAGCATTAGTGAACAGAAAGAGCTGTAATGTAGTAGAGTTCCGCAAGTAACATGACGTCCAAACAGATACAAATAAGAATACGTAATGAAAATGAACTCTGCAATCAAACACTCGAACACCATATATGAAGATAAATGCCAAGGCAATAATCAATTCCGTTGAATCAGGTGAAACCACTTACAGCAACTGATAACGAAAGCGAGAGAGCAACAGCGCCACGCAAACCAGCCCATATCAACACTATTGCCTCTTTCCAATTGATACCGTACCCAAAGTACTTCAAGCCAGGGTATAGTAATCCAACAACCATCGCCCGAGAAATCTGGACAAAAAGGTAGAGCAAAAGCAGATAACCCCAGTCCCGTCCTGAAACAACATGCAATTTATCAAGTTACAGCTTTACAGTTAATCTCACAAATTTAGAAATCTTGCATACTTATTGAGCGAATCACACTAATTGCAAACCTTGGATCTTGTCTTGGCTTCTCAAGATGCTCTCCGCAATTACCACACCACTGCAACACACTAGTAACGTCAATACTTTCAGGATACTTGTTCAACCAATAATTGGGAATACAAGAATAAAATATTTGTCAGCTACCTCGAAAATCAGCCTGATCAACATGGAGTGCTACGAGTGTAGATCAAAGCTGTGCAAATCTGACACTTGAAAGCACACACCTGAGTAAGAATACGAGAGTGTTGGCGATGTAAGAAATCATCTCCCTGTTCATACGACATGAAATGTAGATGTAAGTCCCCACATGGCAGCAAATGGAACTCCGGTAACCTCCACATGCTAATGTATTAAACATCAAGACAATAGCAGGTGACAGCGTACCAAAAATGATGCATACTTTGCGCGCTCTCGCCAGTGAAGGCTGTTCTTGCAAAGGCTGTAAAGAAGCTACACATACAAGCTTTTGTAGTCAAGATCTCAAATTTATGCAACAAGAAATGAGGCGTGAGCAGTTATCACTGCTCGAAGCTCTACACACATCAAGATAAGCTTCATAAGATACGTCGACGAGTAAACACAAGGACAAATACCAGAGGTCTGCTACTGCTTCTGAGGTAAATACAGAGAGCGACTAGAAGACTTACATGCCAACAGTCATAACAGTCAACACTCCAGAGACAGACGCTGATTCTTCTGCCTATTATTGTGAAGCATAAACATGGTGCGACGGATTTCCAAAACACTTGATTAATCTTTCAGTATAATTATTTCAAAACTTTAATCTTACTCCAACCTACTAAAGTTACGGAAACAAAGCACTTTGGGTTGCACTGAAGGCATTCCTAACGAAGAACAGGGCTACTACAGATTTTCTAGAATTCTAATAATTACATCAGGGTGCAACTGTTACTGCAGAAGAGGACTATTATTACAGGACTGAAGGTCATACAGAGAATATACAAAAACTACCGGAGTAGAAATTTCTTACCACAAAGAATGCCATGTAGCTGGCTGTCAATGTAAGAGTAATTTCAATGACGGTGTCATTGAACACTCGTCCAACCCATATTACAGAGACAATTCCAAAAAGTAGTCCTAAAGCTACCCTGCAATATTTGGATCCCTCGAATCAATGATCATAAATCTTAGCAGTTGAACAAGGGGGATCAAGCCTTTCCTACCAAGGAGCGACCCCTGTCACCTATTTTTGGCAGCTAGAACAAAGCAATTTCAACACATGAAAGAAATTAACTAATGCGCCCATTCAATACGTCTACTGCAGTTTCAAAGTTAGATAAACGAACAACATTATTCTCCTTACTGTTATGCTGCGCTATTAACATGATGACACTAAAATAAGCCCCTCCACAAAAACCGAAGTAATCTGATAAGATGGGCTCTCAAACACCACTTACGCTCCAAAAACGACCCTGCTGAGAAATGAAACAACATCACCAGCACTAAAATGCTTTCCCAATACCATCTGTAAAAACAGACGAAACACAACAATCGCAGTTCTGGTATTCAAACCAGTGTCATGATATTAGTATCATACAGCAACAACACGGTGTTATCACCATGACCACATCATAGTCGGGTTTCATGCCCATATGAATATACATCTCTCTCTCTCTCTCTCTCTCTCTCTCTCTCTCTCTCTCTCTCTCTCTCTCTATATATATATATATATATATATGTGTGTGTGTTTAGAGATATATAAACAGAAATAAGAAAAGTATTCATTTGACAACCCATATTTGCACATGCTCACTTACCCATCATTCATCAAAGACTCGCCCTCAATAAGAGTGCTCAACTTCTTGCTGGCGCCTAGTTCTTTCAGCAACGCTACCACTGCCACTGGGTCCGTGGCACTCAGCAGACCTCCCAGCAAAAGCCCCGTGCTCCAGTTCCAATTATATGGAAACACTTTCTGTTCCACAATCCACGAAAATATTCAGATCCTCAATACTATCAAGAGGAAAAGTTGGATGGCTACACATCTCTAGATGTATGCCTCAATTAAGATACCTTCACCTCGTCAAAAAACATATATGGAGCTGGCAATGAACATAAGGGTGTTTTCGAACCAAAAGGGTTTGCTCGCCGCCAGATAAGAGGGTGAGGTTAGAAGAAGATTTTATGTGAATACTCACAACCGTCGCAACACCAAGCAGAAATGTTGAGATGAGGACTCCTGGAGCGGCAAGAAGAAGCATCTGGAAGAAACATCTCTGTTCAAGCCACGCCACCCAATTAACCAGAAAATAATTGTGAGTAAGGATTCTATAAAGATGGGCTCTAAATTGGCTTGGCGCTCTAACTAATAGAGAAGGTCATGGTTGCTAGCTTCAGTTGATCAGTTGGTGAGTGCACACATTCAGCTACTTTAGAAACCTAAGCAACAATGTTCTAACATAATAAGACATGAGGGTGATACCTTTATCTGGTGGAAATCCATGGCAAAGGAACTTTCGAAAAGGAGAGCGGGCAGAAACAAAAAAAGAATGAGGTCGGGATCAATGTTCGACCCTGCAAGCAAAAACAATTATATGAGTGATTGATCTTCCGGCTATTGCAGTCGCGATTATGATAAGTGGGCTTAATACAACTTCACACCTGAAAACTGCAGGATCCTAGCATCAATCTCAAATAAAAATTCAGCTGTTATTATAGAAATTCAAAAGCCAACCATATGTGAAGACACACACTCACACTAAAAGAAGACACTTACACATTCGAATGCTGTCCCCAAGCACACCCAGGTTTTTGACTCCATATTCTGCAAGAAGGGTGGTTAGAGTCTCAAGAAACTGCTTCAACACACTACTAAGTCCAACATCTAATTCGCAATTAAGTCATTGAGCGATTTCCGGAGATCATATAGATTACCCCAGATAAGCAAAAATCTGACATTTTGTCCACCAGGGACAGGAGAGAAACGCTAAAATAATAACGCGAACTTCCTATTTTATCCTGGAAAAATGACGTCAATTTCTGCACCAGTATGCCGACCTTAGCCAGGAAAAATTCCATATTCCAGTCCTACATCTAACGGGGAATCCCAAAGTAAAAATCTTGCAGCTTTTAAATTGACGTAGGGAAGGACACCATCACCGAGTAACCCTTCATGCAGGAAAACTGAAGAAGAAGAATTAGATAGATATATAAATGAATCACCTAAGCCTCCGATGCCAATTCCCAGAAGAAGCAACACCACAGTGTAGGGAATTCGAGAGCCCTTGAAGAGATGGCGGGAGACCATTCCCAGGAACAAAGCGACTCCTACAAACAGAATGGCCACTTCTGGCCCTACTTCTTCAGTCGCTGCGGTCGAAGGTGCGGGTGCCACGGTGCTCATGGACTCCATCGTGACGAATCGCTGAAGATGGTATAAGCCTGTCCTGCTGCTTCCTGATTCAGTCGTCTGGCGCTATTGGACCACTGTGAGATCGCGAGACACAGCGCAACTTCTATCAGTGGGGCTTTTCTCACCTGGAATCGGTTCCACTGATCTCTACATAGATTGCCTCCTTTCTGCATTTAATGTGCCCCATTTCAGCTGCTAAATCGAGTGACCGATACGAGAAACAAGAGGAGAATTATGCATTAAAAGGAGAATTTCCAAAACAAAAAATTCGCATAGTTCGTATGCCACAGCACAAAGAGAGTCCCTGCGGCGAAGTATGAAACCATGAAAAAATCAAAAATTCAGAAGCTTTAAGAAATTCAATGACAAGATCTCTCTCGCGCGCGACCACTCTCGCAATCTGTCGCTCGCTCGCGAAAAGATAGCGAATGAGACTTCGAACTGAGCTGTTCTCAAAGTCCACCACGCCGTGTTTTTCATAGTTCAGCCAACAGATACTGTAAATGGAAGTTGTCCATTCTTACCATCCAGACTCTTCAAGGTCTTCGTAGGCTTTTGATTTAAGAGCGATACAATAAAGCTTGGAAGGAGAAGGGGAGAAAAAAGAAAAAGAAAAAAGAAAGGAAGAGGAGGAGGAGGAGAAATAATTGAGCGACTTGTAGGACTAATACATGAACGAAAGGTGAATATTGAACTAAAATAGAAAGAAAAAGTTACGGTAAGAATTTTCAGAGGGAAACGTCCCCCTGAATGCAGGACCAAGTTATGTGCTAGAAACGTGGAAGCAGTTCCAGCAGTGGTGACAATCATTGGTTACTAAAGTTATCGAAGATACAAAGTATAGCCACACTGAGAGCTGCTGAAATCGGCCTGAAATCATAATACCAATACGGTAACGTCACTTATGGGAAGTCGCACAAAATTTCAAGACACAAATTCCTTCGTACAGGATACACTTTAATGATCTCAGCGTCACGGGTGCAGCGGAGGCCGTCATCATGTACATTACAAGCTGTCCCGTCGCTGACCTCTTGAAGCAGAGAAACGTACAAAGTACTCCCGCATTTTCCACCTTCCGCTTCAGAAGATGGTTCCTACACGGTTGTCCATATCGGAGAAAAGCTCTCCACAGGATCCAAATTTAAGTCACTCGCCAATCAACAGAATCTGAATGTCCCGCTCCAACCTCCCCCAAGAACTTTTCAAGACAGAATCCAACCATGTCTCTCTTACAGCCCACCTTCAAGCGACCCCCAAACGAAACCAGAAATCCAAAACCCTTCCAGCGCGAAAGCTCGCCACACCATCCATGCCCAGCTTCACGTGCAACATCCAAAACTCCGCCACTCTCACAACGTACTCCTTCGCCACGCAACTTGAACTAAAGTAAACACGTCGTCCTTATTTGTAGCCCGGATACCCGCGACAAAAAGAGTCGTTTATTCCACAGTATGAGCATCGCCCACGCTGCCCAAATAAAACCTCCTGCACCCACATGCACCCAACATTGACATGCAACTCGTCTTCGCATAGGCTGGTGAGCTCACCTGTGGGTCGGCTAAGTCAGGCCCACAGCCAGCAATCTGCAACGGAAACCGAAGACTAACTTGTATGGAAAACTCTCTTTCCTCTCGACAGTGCTGGCAGGTTGAGAGAGTTTAGAATATGCTTCATAGCCTCAAGGTTTGGGTCTGTGAGGACATTCGTGCAAAGCACAAAAACAAAACTCAGCGACGTGAGGCTTAAAAATATCTGCCATTCCCGTCAGCATCATCTCCTCCCCCCAGCCATTCTTCCGTAGCAGTGAGCAGAAGAAACGTTTAAGAAGCACCTCCTCTTCCTCCTCCTTTCGTTGCTTCTGCTCTTGATCACTTCAAAAGCAGAGCAGATATTTTGGCACCGTTCTACGAGGGAAGAGGAGGAAGGAGGGAGGAGAAGGAGCTTCGAGGGACGTGCTCGAGGGAATTCGAAAGGGGGATGGAGGGGATGTCGCCGTCTTGGAAGTGGCGCCGACGCATGTGTTGATGCAACTGAAGGAATGTTCAATATAATCTCTCCCTTGTGACGAATTTTCAGTGGAAAGCTGTTAAAACATATCCATTTGGATGCGAGTGATCGGCGCTTTGACAAAACAATTTTAAATTTTTTTAAAGTTATTTATTGATGTTCGTTACAAAGTTCAGATTTATTATTTTAAACTTATTTCTCATTAGGACATGAAAAAACAAAATAATCAAAAGATATCAAATAATTTTTTTTATTTTTTAAAATATGTATTAATTTAGGAAAATATTAAATCAAATTCACCTCTCGTTATTTTGATCCCACCATCATTGATTTCCACCAAAAGGACATCATCATGCAAATACAACAATACTTGTAATAATACTAAATTAGAAATAACATTGGCATGGTTCAACATATCATGATATTGGCTTTGCAATTAGATTAATCATTTGAAATGATTAAGGTGTCTTTTTAAGACATATTATTGCTCTTTTGAGGATATAAGGAATTTTATGATAGGTTTTGGAGATTAAGAAGCGCATCTACATGGATGATTTTAAGATCTACATCTTTTATGAAAGAATTTATGAATTTGGCAAATTCTCTCTACCATGACATCAATGTAATTCAATACAATCTAAGCCTTAAAACACAACTACCAATAATTAAGTCCTCACTTTGAATTATAGTAGAATTGCCAAGATTGCATAGTGTGGCATTGAAATATTCAAATTCCAGAAGAAAAAATAGTTTGCAATACTAAAAATAAAATTTTTGAACTACAATAAAGATAATGATAAGAGTTTGCATATTGCAAATGCATTGTAATTCATCAATAAAAAACTTTTGATAGATGGATTACATAACAAACTAATAGGTGATGTAGTGATCTAAAATCTCAATAGGTTGTATGAATATAGAACATCATGAAAAAAAATAATGCTTATAAAAGTAGGGGATGAAGATAATTAGGATTGAGAGTTGAAAATTATTGTATGAATGATGAAGTTTTTAGTGAGAAAATTTATAATACGAAGTGTGTAATATACAACAAGAGGCAAGAGAGTTAAAAGATAGATAGTGGTGTTAATATATGCCAATCTTTTTAAGCAGTTCAATTGACTACAGTTAAATCACATCAAACAATGTTTGTTGGAAGACATTTCCACTAACAAAAGACTCCTAATAAAGCACTTGGTTCAATTGATTTGATAAGTTTAGTCGTGCTATCTCTTTAAAAGTTATCTAATAGAGCATATAATATATTAATTGCCACCTTTGACAATGCTTCTTGAAAAGTTAAAGTATTCATTTATGAATAACCAATATAAAGGATTATTTAAAATTTATTTCTACATCATATGTATATTATGAAATTTAAGCACCAAATTATATCAATATAAGGATAGAAGAAAGACTAATTAAATTGGATTAAGTGGTGGATAATGAAGCATGTTTTATAAATAATCTATATAGACCATTCTTTCTATTAATATTACTATCTAATATTATGATATCTTTAGCCTCCATTTAATTATAAAATCTTATTTAGAATTTTATACAAGATTGAATAATGTTATAGCATCAAAGTTAGTAAACAATGCCTACTATATTGCCAAATTGACTTGACCATGATGTTTCTAATTTAGTAAATATCTATAATATCCACAATCTAACTAAAGTAAAATATCTTTTGTATCTATTATCTATCAAAATTGAAATATCTTTCATGTCCACTTTTCAATCAATATCTAGAACATCTACAATCCTGTCAGTTAAACTTAACTAAACTAAAATAGCTAGGATTTAGTTGAATAAAAAGATAGAATGATAAATAATTTTTGGTTTTTTTAATTTAAATATATTTTTTTATCTTCTTCATCCTAAATTGTAATTCTGGATATAAAAATAAGTATCTTATAATGACCAAATAAGATTTAATGTTGGATTAAAATTATTATCCTTTATCATTATAAAACACTTTTAATATTTAACCATGAATTAAAAAATATTAAAAAGGTTGCGTGGGAGAGACTACATACACTATAAAGACTACTTGTGAATGTTAATTGAGGCTTAGATGTTAGGGACATATTCCTTAGAACTTTTAGAGAGAAGTTTCTAGAAGCTTCTAGAAAAGAAGTCTCTGGAACCTTCTAGAAGAGAAGTTTCTAGAAGCTTCTAGAAAGGAATCCCCTGGAACTTTCTAGAAGCTTCCTAATTAATAGAAGTAGCTCGAGAAGTTTCTTGAACCTTCTAGAAAGGAAGCCTCTGGAACCTTCTAGAAGCTTCCTAGTTAATAGAAGTACCTCGAAAAGCTTCCTAAGTAGGAGTATATATAGGGATCGAGGCTGAAGAGTTCTTCAGTCTCGACAACACATCTCTTGGAGTTCTAGCTCACCTTTTTGGTGTTGTTCTTGTACTCATCTGTTTAATCTAGTTCTGCCACTTCTTCTTGAACTTCTTGTTAGATTTCAAGTCTGTATTTTGTGTCCGTGACAGTTTGTCGAGACTACACTAACTTGAGATATCAGAGCTAGTTCTTTCTTAGTAGGGTGTGGATTACCCCTCTACTTGAAGGTATACTAGCATTTTTTAGAGGTTGCGGATTACTCTCCTCTAAACTGATACTTCTTCTGTTACAATATTGGAGTCTTATTCTTCTTGGAGAGAGTGGATTACCCCTCTTCTTGAAATTCTTAAGGCGTTTTATAGGTTGTGGATTACCCTCCTATAAACCAATATTGCCTCTTATAGGATCATTTTTGTCCTTCTTTTAGAATGGCCGGAGGTCAAGACATTAGTATGACAGAAAGTTCAGAGTCTAAGTTAGATGCTATTATGAATGCCCTCGCTACGTTATCACAAAGAACTGCAGAGATTGAAGGAGTGGTGGCAAGGCTTCATAATGATGGAGTATCTGGGATAGCACAATCTAAACTACACCAGCCTCAAATTTCGACACTTGGAGAAACAACTTTACCTCAGGTTCGACAAGAACCACTAGTTCTACAACATAAGGAGCCTCGAGTTAGTCTTCCACATAAGTTTGATGGAACACGTTCCAAGTTTTGAGGATTCGTCAATCAAATCAGGTTGATAACAGTTTTACAGCCCGAACGATATCCAACGGAGGAGTCACGTGTTGGGCTTGTTGGAACCTTACTTACGGGACAAGCTCTATCATGGTTTGCTCCTTTGTTTGAGAAACGATCATCCATATTAAACAACTTCGAAACCTTTTTGGAAGCATTTGCGGAAGCATTTGGTGAACACGATAAGGTTCGATGGGCTACAACAAAGATCCGGTCGCTATGATAGGGGATGCGTTCTACATCAGTCTATGCTTCGGATTTCAGGCAATTAGTATGCGACATCAATTGGAATGAAGAGGCGTTGATGAGTCAATTCTATTGGGGTTTAAGAGATGATGTGAAGGATTTGCTGTTAACTCTTCCTGATCCACGAACGCTCAATGAAGCCATTAGCGAAGCTGTGAAGTGCGATAATTGCCTATTCCAACGTCGCCAAGACCAACGCTCAAGACAACATACAATTCGCCATGCTCCAACTATGTCGGCAAGCAGTGTGAATTTGCATTCAGAGGTGGAAGACATGCAAATTGATGCGGTACGTATCAAATCTCTTACTATAGAAGAAAAAAAGCGACGTATGGAGGAAAATTTATGCTTGTATTGCGGTGGAGAAGGCCACAAAGTTGAAAACTGCCCCAAAAAGCAAAATCGAGGCATAGTCAAGACTAGGGGAGTATTTGTTCAGGAAAACGAGGATGCCCAGCCACAGTAGGAACCGTGCGGCTGGACAATGAAATATCCCAACAACAATCAGGTTCCTTTCTTTCTGCCCAACTTGCCCTTTGTTTTACAATCCCTTTGTTTATCGGCCCTCAAAAACTGAGAACCTTAGCACTACTAGACTTAGGAGCATCTGCTTGTTTTTTAGACGAAGAATTTGCAAAGCGTCATAAGATCCCTTTAGTACAAAAATCAAAACCTGTTCATGTTGAGGTCATAGATGGGCGACCTTTATTGTCTGGTAGCATCACCCATGAATCAAAACCTATAGAAGTAACGTTTAAAGACCATAGTAGTCATATTATTTTTAATATTATTAGAACCCCATCAAATCCTATTATTCTTGGTCTTTCTTGGTTGGAAAAACATAATCCATTGATAGATTGGAGGTTGCGGAAGATGACTTTTCCCACAAAACCACCCAAGAAAAAACCTAGTAAAAAACCTCGAAAAAAGAAATCCTTATTCATTGGAGCAAGAGCGTTTATAAGATTATCTAAGGAAGGCACTCCATTTGTCATTTATGCGACTCCAACTACTGAGGAGAAGATCTCAATAGCAAGTATACCGGAGCAATATAAAGATTTTGAAGACGTGTTTCAAAAGAAGAACGCCGACATACTACCGGAACACCGACCATATGATTGTGCCATAGACTTGCAAGAAGGAGCACAACCACCTTTTGGCCCAATCTACAATCTATCGCAAATGGAGTTGGCAGAGTTACGAAAGTACATCGACGAGAATCTAGCCAAGAACTTCATTCGTCATTCAAAATCATCAGCTGGAGCACCCATCTTATTTGTGAAGAAGAAAGATGGATCATTACGGATGTGTGTGGACTATCGAGGCCTCAACAAGGTAACAAAGAAAAATCATTACCCATTACCCTTGATTTCTAGTCTCTTAGAACAACTTAGACGTGCGAAGATCTTTACAAAAATTGATCTAAGGAGAGCTTATAATCTCGTACGAATCAAGGAAGGAGATGAGTGGAAGATAGCATTCCGTACAAGGTATGGTCATTTCGAATATAATGTCATGCCTTTTGGTCTTACCAATGCTCCAGCGGTTTTTCAACATATGATGAATGACATCTTTCAAGAACACCTCGACGATTTTGTTGTCATCTACTTG